TAGTATATGTTCATTATAGAAAAAATTTTAAATGTGAATAAAACAAAAGAAAGGTGAAAAATTTAGTAACATGTTAAATTCTTTCAAACACATAAAGTACGCTAAATTATGAAAATGCCTAATAATCCTATCTCCCAGATATCTTTTTATCATGGGGAAAAAACTCAGGCACAAACAGTTCTAAAGGTACAAAGTGATAAGGGAAAGAATTTTCCTCCTTGCTGCGTCCTCACTCCCGTCAGCATTCTTTCCTAGGGTAACTACTAATAATAGATGAGCAAATGTGCCCAGAGAAAATAATTATATGCATGTATCAACATACATGTGTATATTTTTCTATCAACTTATAAAACAAATGATAATACCATATCCATTATTATGTGTATTGTTCTTTTCATTAAATATATCTGGGATATAGGTCCATATCAGCTGATCTTCCTTTCTGATGGCTATGTAGTATTCCATTTTGTCTGTACCACACTATTAACTGATTCCCTGCTGATGGATATTTAATTTGTCTTTTTTACTATGACAGTACTACAATGAACATTCATAAATGTTCATATAATACAAATTTATAATATATATACACCTACATATATGCATACTTCGGCAGGAATATCCATAGGTAAATTCCTAGCAGTGGTATTGCAAATTAAAGGGACAATTCCATTGTTTGAAATGTTAATATTTGAATCATATTGCCAATTTCCACGTGGTCTTTCCCTGCGAGCTAGTTTGGGCTCTCCCACAGTATGGCAGGTGCAGGGCAATTGGACCACTACATGGCGGCAGACAGCTTCAAGGGCAAGATTTCCAGCTAACAGGGTAGATTCTGCATTATCTTTCTTGACCCAGCCTCAGAAATTACACAACATGGCTTCTACTACAGAATTCTGCCCCGATTCAAGAGGAGGGACGCAGACCCCAGCTCTTGATGGGTAGAGAGTCAGAGCCACACTGCAGATTATCATGTGGGATGGGGGATATTGTTCTGGCCATTTTTGAAAAAACAGTCTTCCCCACTCTCTGAAAAGCTTGCATAAATTTATACTTCCATTGAGTGTATATTAGAATACCATTTCTCCACGCCCTTTGCAAATCTTTTAGTGAAAAGTGGTTACCTTGTTACTAGTTTCATTTACATTTCTTGGTAACATTGAGCAGATTTTCATATCTTCATTGGCCCTTATACTTCTTTTCCTGGTGTCTGGCTATTTTAAAGTTTTCTATTAATTTTAGGGGCTGTTTCTGCATGAAGAAAATTATCCCTTCCTCGTGGTGTGCTGACTGTTTCTGATACAGCTCTTCCTCTTCGACTTTATTTATGTTTTTGCCACACTGAAAATTATAACTTGGTTTTAGTCATATTTATCAATATTTTCTATTATAGTTCCAGGGTTTTATATCTTGTTGAGAAAGGTCTTCCTTACTCCAATATTATTTTTAAAATACCCAAGTTTTCTTCAAGATTTTGGTCACTTTACCTTACAACCTGCTCCATATAATGTGATATGGACTATATAATATTGAACCTTCCTCAGTTTCCTGAAAATAACCCCCCTTGATCAATATATACCATTTTTTTGTACTGTTGGATTCTAGTTACTAACATGTTTTCCCAGATTGAAGCTTTTCTCCAGTGCCACATTTCCCCAAAACGTCTCATTTCTTGTGACTATAACTTATTCAGCAAAATTTAGAGATTTTTCTTTTATTTCTAATTATTTCTTACATAGATTACTTCACTTCTGAATTTGTCTAATTCTGATTTATGTTGTTTTATATCATTTCTTAATATTTTTAAACTCATTTGGGAAAACTATGTTAAAATTTTGGTCTGTGTTGTGTTGAATGCATTCCTGGTATATTTTCATTATCTATAGAGATATTATTCTGCTCCTTACTCGCCTTTTTCTAATAATAACTTTGTATGAGACTTAACCCTAATACTATGCTGATGTTTGATTCTATAGGAGCTTATTTTGCTGACTTCTAGAAGTGGTCAATGGTTATTCTAACTTCACGGAGCTCCCTCTTCTGTTGCTTTGGTGAAGTGTGCAAAAACGTGGTAGCTTGCTTTCTGAGTTGTCCACCCCACACTGCTCTGGCCTTCTTTCCTTGTTTCTGTTGTTTCTATCCTGCTCAAATTTGAGTCTCCTTCTAGTAGTTTCTCCCCAGTGTAGGGCCCTTTCCCAAAAGGGAGCGGTGCCTGGTCGGTGTGAAAATTGCTCATATCCTACACTATTTCAGTGCCTTTCAGGACTTACTGAGGCTCCTCACACTCACCAGCTATTGCTCTGGGCAAAATCCCTTCCAGGTTCAGCTGCTGTTCTTCAACTAGCCTGGATGGCTGTCCAGTAAACACCTCTCGGCTGTTCTGGGGTTCTCAGGTCCGTTGCTTTCCTCTGCTTTCTCCCACACGGACGATACTACCAGGCAGGTCTTGTGGCAATGGGTGGTTTGTCCCCATCTGTTTGCATTTTGTGGTTCTGTCACCCAGTTTTTACGTTAGATGGGGTTTTTGTTTCTTCTAGTTGCAGTGTCTGTTCTTGTGTAGGGACTCAGGGAAATTCAAAACTACACTGCCACCACTGCCGCCTTCCCAGAGTCTCGTCCCCATATTCGTGGATTGTTTGCTGCGTCTTCTCAACTCTCAATACTCTTCACTCATGTGAATGAACGGCGCTGCTCTCTCCCACTCCCCCAGTCTAGAGGGAAAGATAAATTGCTTCCTCTCCACCCCGTGTAGGAGGCATTGTATCAGCGCAGTTCAAGCACGAGTAGGTTTTTAAGAAGACCTCAGATGTCACCAATAGATAGGCCCCTCTGGGGAGAGCTGATTACATACAGCCAGTGAAGAAGAAGGACGAGGAATGGAGGGACATTTGGGAGATAGGTTGAGCATATTGTAAAGATCAGAAGACAGGAAATCTATTGACGAGGGGAAACCTGGAGCTCAGGGTTGAACCAGGTTCATGAATCCACATTTACCCAGACTCTCCCAGCCTCTGCTTCGATTTGGTACAATGGAAGTAATGTCCCTCAACATGAAGCATATATTGAAATTATCATAACCCATAGAACCAAGAGAACTGATGCAGCTATCTGTAAAATGATGCAGAATTTCCTCAAGCATTTGAATCTGGTGTTGTCAGGAAATGAGAGATTTCACATAAATAAGTTTATCCTTCTCCACCACTATCCTCCTGGTCTAACATGTGGGTAAGTCCCCTAACTGTTCTGCCTGCAGCCATCTGCCTTCCCTCCATTACTCATTGCTTACTGTAGAGAGAGTATTTTTTTTCCAAAACCTAATCAAGTTACTCCACCCTGCCTAAAACCCTTTCATGGTCTCTGCTGCTCTTAGGATAAAGAAAAACTTCTTTACATCGCCTCACAATCTCTGGGCTCTCTGGCTCCCACCTGCCCTCTGGCCTCATCTCAGACCACTCTCTGACTGCTCTCTGACTTCAAGGTCACAATGGCCTTTGGTCCTGTCCTCTGCCCTTACCATGCATCCTCCCACCACAGGATCTTTGCACATGCCGTCCCATCTGACCTGCCTTCTGATTCCAGCTCCAGTGTCACTACCTGAGGGCCGTCTTCTCTGACCTCTGCTGCTACATTGTGTCCCTGTAGCACAGGAACCCACAGAACCATGAACCTCTCCTCTGTACCAATTGTCACCATTGCATTTTACTTTTGTGTATTTCTTTGATTAATGCTCTTCTCTCCTACTTAACTGTGGGATCCATGAGAACGGGGATTACAATCTGTAGCAGCTCATGCTATAGCTCCTTGCACACAGTGGGGATTCAGTAAATTCAGGTTGAAAGATAATGCAAGGTTTTCTGAAAACTAAAAATAATTACTTTAAATACCATAGTTATTATAACTTATTTTTGTATTGAAATCTTTAAAAATGCATGACTTCTCTCCCCGCCTGTATAAACAGGATGTAAAAATCATAATTTTATTTTTTACTGATTCTTCTCGTATGAAAATTTGTTACTATTCTCTAACAAAAAAATGGCCTCAGGACTATTGAGATAGGACAGTTTGTCTCAACAGTAACATCCCCTGATTGCTTGATTTCTTTTTCTCCCATTTTCCTTCTAGACCTCCTTCTAATTCATGGTATCTATTTGCATGGTAATGGAAAATCAGACATTTAGATTTGTTAGAAATATGTACAAAATAAGAATACATTGGCCCTCCATAATGGTCACACAGGCCTCCTATAAAGGGGACCACGAGCTTTGGTGCATGGCCTGTGTAACACTCATTTTGTCTGCTTACAGATGTTGCTTAATCCCTAGTTTTCAGTTATCTTCTAGATAGTTGAGATTGCCAGATAAGGCAACAAATAAGGCTGATAAAGCTATTTGATGTCTTGCTGTATATGGTTAAGGCCCTGCAAAAACAATTCAGATCAACTTAGTTGAACATTATTCTATTTTAGATACAAACAAGTAGGTGTCTTTTTTAAAATCACAAACTGCATATATTTATTGTTTTGTGATAGTGTAATTGGGAATTTAATTCTCATGAAAAAGAAAATTCTCATACAAATCACCCCCCCCAAAATCTCATAATACTAAAACAGAAAAATAACAAATACTTTGCCAAATAAAAGAACCCTGTAATAGTAGAGTCCTAAATGATTTTGCTTGCTTATTCCTTTGGTATTTAAGAATTCACTGAAACTTTACGAAACATTAGAAATCCTCAGAGTTTATCTTTTTCCCTAATATATATAAAATAAAATAGTTAGGAGCTTAAAGTAAAAGAGTTTTAGAGACTGCTAATAATTTCAATGACATAGGAAAACAGAAAGGGAGAACTGAAAGTGGGAAATTCCTCTGAACTAGAAAGAGTGGAGGACCATCCCGTATAAATAGCCCACACTCATGGAGGAAGGACACTCGCACTCAAGCTCTTGCAGCCTCTACTCCAGCATCGAGGTGGTAGAAGGCAACGCTGTTCCTGTTTTCATCATGACCAACAGGTGTATCCTCCAGATGGCTCTCCTGCTGTGTTTCTGCACCGTGGCTCTTTCCAGGAACTACAACTTGCTTCGGTCCCAACTAAGAAGCAGCAATTCGGCATGTCAGAATCTCCTGCGGCAGTTGAATGGGACCTATTGCCGCGAGGACAGAATGAACTTCGAGGTCCCCGAGGAGATTGAGCAACCACAGCAGTTGCAGAAGGAGGACGCCGTGTTGGTCATCTATGAGATGCTCCGGCAGACCTTAGGTATTTTCAGAAGAAATTTCGCTAGCACTGGCTGGAATGAGACCATCGTCGAGAGGCTCCGTGCGGAAGTCCACCTGCAGATGGACCGTCTGGAGACAAACGTGGATGAAATAACGGAGAAGGAAAACTTCACCTGGGAAAACACGCCCGTTCCGCACGTGAGGAAATATTACGCACGGATCGTGCAGTACCTGAAGGCCAAGAAGTACAGCCGCTGTGCCTGGACAACAGTCCAAGCGGAAATCCTCAGGAACTTTTCCTTCCTTACCGGACTCCTAGATTACCTCCAAAACTGAAGATCTCCCAGCCTGTGCCTCTGAGAACGGACAATGCTGACGGTGATTTCAGGCGTTCTTCAACCAGCAGAGGCGCTTTCAGTGACTGACAGCTAATGCACTGCGTTTGAAAGGACAGTTAAAGACTCGAGAATTTTTTACTAACTTATGAATTAAGTTATTTATTTATTTATTTAAACCTTTACCTTGGACAATAAATTATTTATGAAACAAAAGTCAACATGGCCCGTTTTAATTTCAACTTGACATATAACCACCCATGTTAAGAATTGCAGAGTATCTATTAGATGTTCTTTGTAAAACGTGCCTGCAAACTAGTATAGTTTCTGGCCCCTGCCTTCAGGGAATTTAAAATCCAAGGAAGCCACGTGGCATATACAAGGTAAGAGACGATGAGGGGACCGGAACCTCATAGGAGAATAAATGCGGCCTGAGCCACAGGAAAGTGGAAGAGACAGGCAGGAGGCTCTGGAACGAGAACGACGGGCGCTGCTGCTTCTACTCTGTGCCCCACACTCTCTGGCCCTAAAGTTAGAATTTGACTGGCTGTCAGGGTAACCAGAGGAATATTTCAGCTCTTGTGTTTGCCTAAGCTCATCCCCATTATCTGCAGGATGCTCTGCCTCCCCCTCTCACCCCCAGACCCCACAGGATTTTAAAATGTTTATGTGCCCCCCAAGCCTAAGGGTGAGAAGTCCCAGGCACTTCTGTGACACTGTTAAGTAGCAGTCCCTTTATGGTACTCTTCATGGGACAGCCAAGATGTATGGGTGTCTTAGGGGAGCTGGCATCTCTGTCTCCTTCCAGGGCACAGGCACCACAGGGAGAAAGAACTCTGCTTTATACCCCCGCCATGTGTCTAGGTTTTCTCCCTATTTTCTTCACAAAAGCAAGTCTGCTCCTGGTCCCCCCGGCGCTGTTCATACAGAATTCCAGGAAAATCCTATCTGCTTTTCCTGCTGCTCTGCATCTCTGAAGCCACATACTCCCCAAAGCCAAGTCCAAGGCAGGTGCAGCATTTTAAGCCCAGTTTCAGGCCAAGTGAAAAACTAGGAAGCATGAGAGAAAAGGAAATTCAGGCAGGATAGAGAGGGCGCTAATTTTGCCAGGGCTTACACTGGGAAAATAAAGTTTTCCTAGGAGCTCTTTAGGCCCCTGGCCAGCATGGCTGGCTTTCTGTCTTGTACTGAACCCCTTGGGGACATGGATTATTATGACTGTTCCTGCCATTAGCAGCTGCCATCCAGGCACTCTGCTGAGCTCATATGTACAGAATTGGATGTAGTCCTCTTCACAAGCACGCCTCAGGTAGGCACAATGACATTATAGCTATTTTATAGGTCAGGAAACTAAGTCTCACAGAGGTTTAGCAACTGCCCCAAGGTCACATAGCTAATGAGTGAAGGTTAAAAAAAGTACAAAGGGAAGAATCATATAAAGACTTTATTTGTGCCTGGGCACTTTCTCCTAGAGCAGTACAGAGGTTTAAGTTCCCTTTGAGGGATTCGGCCTCCAGAAGAAATCTGTCAGTCAAGAGTTCCGGAGAAGACAGATTGTGCAGAACTTGGGGCTCCCTCTTCTGACTCAAGGCGGGTAACACACCCGCTGTGGAACCAAAAAGTGCCATCCTGGTGGGTCTGCTGCCTTCGTCGTCCCAAGGTAGTCAAGGTCCCCATCAAACAATAAACCGTCTCTCTCCCCTACCACTGCACACTCTATGACTCCCCTAGCTCTGCCAAAATCCCTTCCACAGCCGTGGTGCTTCCTTTTGCCTAGGAGTCAAAGACGAGATTAGCAGATAGAAATGCAGAGTAATAGGCAGTGTCTAGAGCAACAAAGAGGATGCTTAACAAGTCTCTGTTGGCAATGGGCCCTGACTGTCCCCCACCTTCTCTGGGCCTAAAAGCTAAACTGGCCCAGGCACCGAGAGGCTAGAAAGAACTGCTCTATATGTGTGTTGAGGCCCAGAAGGACAGAGGAGAGCTTTCTTCTGGAGAATTATAAATAACTGTGCCACAGCTGAGCATGCCGGCCCATCCCAAATACCAGAAGTATGTCCATCACCAGTAGAGGATAAATGACAATTAATATTAATTCCAATAAGAATGAGGGAGGCTAGTGCAAAAGCACATGGGTGGGTATTTGCATATGCTAAACAGAGAGCTACACATGAGGAGTAAAGTTATTATTTTAGCTGGCGTCAGAACACCTCGCAAGGAGAGCACTTGTTTAGAAAAACATTGAATGAGCCTCTTGAGATGCAAGGTGAGAGCTTGAGGCTATGGGTGTGGGAACACAGAAGATATACACCAATACCCTGTTTTTGTGTGTCTGTTTCTAAGGAGGAAAGAGACAGAGAGAAACCCACCAGATGGTCTGGAGCTGTGATGCTCCCTGGAATAAGACAGCAGTGAAAAATTTCTGATGGGGGCGAATAAAGGACTTTTAAGAACAAGACGTCTCACATGCAACTTGAAATTACATGCAGTGATGCGATGGAACCCTCTCCTCCATCTCCTCCAAAACTTCAGTAGAGATGGCTACCCACACAAGGTGCCTATGTGTGTAGAAATCATATAAAGTGTCCAGGTCCATGTTTGAAATAGTATGGGGAAACCAGCATGGGGTGGCCACAAGTCCACACATGAACCAAATTAGTAGGGACAGAAGGCAGAGCCATGACAACAGAGCACTCCCCCACCACCCCACCTTAGGAATCAAGGGAAATCATGGAGAGGACACTGTGCTTCCACAGACACAGATTAGGAGGTAGAGCAGTTTTATCTAGCTCTTAAGCAGTTAGAAGGCCCTGGCAAACATCTGGGTTATATATAAATAGATAAATATTGCCTGACCATATGGACATGTAGTACAGGGGAATATCAGCATACATTTGTATGGTATTTTTTACAATTAACAAAGCTGATATTTAGGCACTTTGGGTGTCATTAGGCACTTTTAGGTACTCAGAGACATCTGATGCAGGCACTTGTTCATAAAATACTCTTAAGACAATGAAAAGAATATGCCACAGACTGGGAGAAAATATTTGCAAATCACATATCTGATAAAGGACTTGTATCCAGAATATATATTTTTAAAAAATCTCATGGGCTGGCCCTGTGGCTTAGCGGTTAAGTGCACACGCTCTGCTACTGGTGGCCCAGGTTCGGATCCCAGGAGCGCACCGACGCACCGCTTCTCCGGCCATGCTGAGGCTGCGTCCCACATACAGCAGCTAGAGGGATGTGCAACTATGACATACAACTATCTACTGGGGCTTTGGGGAAACAAAAAGGAGGAGGATTGGTGATAGATGTTAGCTCAGAGCCGGTCTTCCTCAGCAAAAAGAGGAGGATTAGCATGGATGTTATCTCAGGGCTGATTTCCTCAAAAAAAAAAAATAATAAACAAAAATAAAAAATATCTCAAAACTCAACAATAAGAAAATAATCAACCCAATAAAAAATGGGTGATATATTTGAATGGATACTATACCAAAGAGATACATGAATAGCAAATAAATACATGGAAATACTAAAGCCTTCTTTGTGGATTTTTTGTGGTTTAGATCAAATAATGAATGCAAAATGGTCTTTGATTACAGAGGAGCCCATTCCACCATGAGGATCTACCATAGCCTTTCTGAGGAAAGTCCACCAGCCATCTTGGTCAAGTTCTATATGTGGTCACTTCAGGTCTGCCCAGCAGAGAAGGAAGGGCCCTCATCAATGCAGACTTTCATCTTGGCTAGTCCAGCTATGAGACATACAGAGAGAGCCAGCAGTTGGTGATGGAGTCAGAAGGCGAATGGCACCCAGAACCAGATCTTGCCAATTACAGGCTTTTTCTCTGAATCTGTTGTACCAATGCTTATCGAGCCTAAAAACTGAACTGTTTCATGAATTTATCCTTTTGTTCTCAGCATTAATTGGTGCTTTTTCAATACCAGTTTAATTGTCTAAAATCTAGAATAGCTAATTTAAAACAATCAAACTCTAATACAACAAACAAATTGAATTAGAATTGCCAGCCCAGCAATATACTCTCCTAATTTAGTAAAACCAAGTTAATCACTTAACTTGTTAATTGACTTGATGGAGAATACTCCAGAAACTTGTTCACATCAAACAATTACCACCAAATCAGTAAATTCGACTTCAATTTCAAAATTCCTGCTTTGTTTTATAATTCCTTGTGTAGGGTGTTCTTAGAAAACCCAAAATGCATTCTTTAAATTATATCCCCCAAAGTTAGCCTAGGAATAAGAAAAAAATGGAGCTCCCTTCCAAAGACTCTCTTAAGAAAATGAAAAGACATGTCACAGACTGGGAGAAGATATTTGCAAGTCACATATCTGATAAAGGACTTAAATCAATACATGAAGATATACAAAGAACTCTCAAAACTTGATAGTAATAAAACAACCCAATAAAAGATGGACAAAAGACTTGAACATACACTTCACCAAAGAAAATACACAGATGGCTAATAGGAAAAGATGATCAACATCATTAGTCATTAAGGAAATGCAAATTAAAGCCTCAAAATACCACTACATGCTTATTAGAATGGCTAAAGTTAAAAGACTGACCATGTCAAGCATTGGTAAGAATGTGGAGCAACTGGAACTCTCATACAATGCTGATGGAAATAAAACATAGTACAACCACTTTAGAAAACCATTTTGCAGGTTCTTAAAAAGGTAAATGTATACCTACCATATGACCAGCCATTCTACTTGGTTATTTACTCAAGAAAAAGGAAAGCATGTTTCCATGTACAGATTTGTATATGAATGTTTGTAGGACCTTTATTCGTGATATCCCCAAATTGGAAACAACTCAAACGTCCATCACAGATGAATGATTAAAGGAATTGTAGTATATCCATGTAATGAAATACTACTCATCAATAAAAAGGAATGAATCCCCAGTACACACAACAATGTGAATGAATCTTGAAATAATTATGCTGAGTATAAGACAGACAAAAAAAGA